GCGGCTCTTGAAGAGGTGGAGGCGGCGTTGAACGCGCGCACGGAGGAGATCGCAAGGAGGCAATTGGCAGGTGATCGTGGGTACCTGGACCCAGCACCGGCTGGTGTTCCGCTGTCTCTCCTTCCCGTTGACAGGGATGCTCCGTTTCAAGCACTCGAGGCGAAGCGTGCACAACTGAAGAAGTACCCACAACGGAATGCAAAGTCGATTCGGGACGTGGAGGATGATCTCAATGATCGTGCCGTTGAACTTGCTGACGAAGTGAAGGCGGTTGAGCGGGAGAAGTTTCTAAATCCGAAGCCCAATGGTGTTCCTATTGATGATGTTCCCATCAACAACGATGGTCCGTTTCGTGACATGGAGATTCAGAGGCTTCTGCTGCGCGAGGAACCCGTCAGGAATGCGACTGCAATCAGCAACCTGGAGGACGCCATGAACGAGAGGGCCGTGGAGCTTGCGGCGAATGTGTTGGCGGATGGGCGTGCCTTCCTGGATCCGGAGCCATTGGGCATTCCTCTTGATGATCTACCACTTGATAAAAATGAGGAGTTTTTGGCAAAGGAGGGGGCTGTAAGCGAAATTATCCGAGAGATGCCGTTGAATAGCGCGAATGGGATTTTATTGAAGGATAAATTGCTTAAAATAGAATCCTCCAGTAATAATAAAGACGTTAAGGATTTACGTGCCGACTATCTTGATCCAGAACCAGAGGGCCGATTGATTGAGGATCTTCTATTGGATGATGATGCGGAGTATATGGAGTTAGAAAAGAGATTGTTTGAGGCGATGAACTCCCCCACAAACGATCCAAATGTGATTAACTTCTTGAAGGCCGAACTGAATGAACGAGCGCACCAGGTTGCAAAGGCATTGAATGCCTCTGAACGAAAAGATTATCTTGATTCTACACCAAGGGGTGTACCTATTGATGATTTACCACTGGACACTGATGAGGAGTTTTCCAAGCTTGAAGCAGATCGAGCACGACTACGACAATCGCCAAAGCGAAACCAGGAGGAAATATTGTCTATAGAAGAGGCATTGAATGTCCGTGCAAGGGAGCTTGCGTATGAAGCGATTTGTCGTGACCGTAACTACTTAGATGATCATCCTGAAGGCGTGCCTTTGGAATTGCTTCCGCTTAACACAGATCAGCTGTTTCAAGAGCTGGAAAAGGAAAGGGCTTTGATTCTGTCTACTTATCCCGTTTCTGCAAGTAAGTTATCAGAAAAGGAAAAAGCACTCAATAACCGTGCTCATGAGCTTGCTGCAGAATATAAAAAATCTGCTCGGGCGCAATATATTAGAGAAGAAGAAATTCCATTCTCTGCCGAGAAACTTTCCTTAGAGTACGATATTCCATTTCAAGAATTGGAAGCAAGGCGTTTTCAGCTGCTCACTGGAAAGGAAGAACACCGCGATCATCTGATTACAGAAATCGAAGAAGCGCTTACAAACCGCGCCAAGGAAATAGCAAACATACGACAGGAAGAACAACGAAATTTTATCGACGAGTATCCCTTAGGTGTACAACTCACATCAACACCAATCAATAAAAATGCGGAATTTTTGCAAAAGGAAGAAGAACTTCGACAACTACGGGGAAAACCACAAAAACAAGCAGAAATTGCTTCACTGGAAAAAGAACTACAGGCAATTGTAAATGCAATGGCCGAAAAAACAACAGAAGAAAATTACCCATATATTGAAGCAAATCCCAAAGGAATTCACATACAACACCTCCAACTAGATAAAGATCCAAAATTTCTTGCGATGGAGCAGGAACGCAGGCAACTGCTCGAGAAGGACCCGCGCAGGAACGCGAGGGAGATCGCTGCGCTTGAGGAGAGCATGAATGCCCGCGCACAGGAGCTGGCACGCGAGAAGAAGCTT